ACTATGATATACAAATCAATACAAGATTAATTTTAAAATAATAAAATTTAAATTAACCATTACTAGTATGAAACAAATAGCATTGCTTGTACAGATATATTGGATAATTGTTTAGATTTTCCTGAAAACATAAAAACTGATAAACTTCTGCTGGAGTTTGCAAATAACAATTATGTATTTTTAAAGTTGTATCTTTTGCAATGTCTTTTTAAGTTTTTCAGAAAATATGTAATAATAATAAAAATTGTGAAATTTTAATTCATTTGAAAGTTAATTCTGCCTATGTAATGCTAAAGCTAGTTTTCTAGGTATTTGCCTTGGATCTAGCTTAGGGAAATTATAGTAATTCTTTAGATCATTTTCTTTCCTGATAGTGGACATCATCATCTGTATCCATTTATGTCTTTATCCTCTTTATACTTTTTGACAGGGCTATTTAATTATATAGCATATTAAAAATGGGCAGAATTCTCAACTATTGATATTATCACATCTGGCTATCTTGTTACAGTCGGAGAACACTGCCTATGCATTGCTTTCAGCATTGCCAATTTTTTGTGTGAAAACCTATGAATGGACTTTAAATCCACCTAAAAACTGAAACAAATTCTCCCTAAATAGTTTTGTTCCATGTGCAATACATATAAAAACAAATGTCTTTTGACCATCCAAAGAAACACAAATTTTCACTTCAGGATGTAGACAGCATGGGCACAGTTGAGCAAACTGCTCCAGATCTGTCCACAAAATTCACGCATAAGAAGTTATGAGTTATGTGGCTGTTGGAAGTTCCTACTCATTGCTGAAACTTCACTAACTAATATTGATAAACTACATTTCCTCCTAAACTATTTCTCTCCCTAAATTTTCTCCATCCTGCTGATTTCCCCATAACCTAAGTTGGTACCACTGATATCCTTACTTATGACAGTACAGTCGACCCCCCTATAACACTGTTGATTATTCCATTTTATATGAATTCCATGTTGTACGAGTCACTTAGATTTTACAAATGTGTGTGCCTGGCTGTGAACAGCTCATGTATTTGTAAAATCTAAGTAACTCGTACAACATGGAATTCATATAAAACGAAATTATCAACAGTGTTACAGGGGGGTCGACTGTAATTGGTGTAATTTTCTTTTTTATAATTTTAAAAATTTTCTAAATAATATAGCTAGCAATATTCAATGAATCTTATTTTTATTATGTCATAATTAAGTTTCCATAAGTAAGTATAAAGTAGCTCTTTATTGTTAAAAATCATGTATTTTATAAAATAAATTTATGCGATTTATAGCAGTATTAAAACTAACATATTAAAAGAAAAATACTCAATACTTTTTAAGTTAATAAATGTAAAAGTTTATAAAATATTCGCCTGTAACGATGTTATGTTGATTTTACATTCCAGTCACGAACTGGATATAGTTGTATTAATATCCATCGCACCTCATTGGTTACGTTGTGATTACGTGCGGAGTCTGACTCGGTTGTAATGATATGTGAATTTGGCTGTTGATGAGCATCAACAAATTTATCTAGTCATCTATTTGACAATATTGAATTATATCACACAAATAATTTGCATGTAGTAGGATACGCTTGCTGGAACTGACAAAAGCAAATATAAATTTGTACCATAAAATATAAAACTATAGTTTAAATAAGTATTTACACTTATTCCTGTAACTGTTCTCAATTGGCAGAACTTATAATAATATAAAGTAAACTGTAAACACTTGAGAAATGTTACAAGAAATTATTATTATTGTTATATATTGCTGTATTGATGAATATAATCATAATTTTATTTTCCGATTACATTAATAACAGCATTAACATGTGGTTGTTAACATTAAAACATGCAGTTTTATCATGCAGTTTTAGTTAAAATATGTGAATTCTGTAAACCTTCATTTTTATAATTTTAACATTATAAAAATTTGTAATATAATGATTTATGGTACAAAAATATTGTACAGGTCATTAAAGTTCTATGAGTGATGCAAGCCAAATTAAAATTGCCATGTTTTGATAGTACTTCCATCAATCTAAGTTTTAAGTTATAAAGTGTAGCATTCTAAAGATTTCTACTTGGTGCAATTTGTATTTTTTTTTCTTTTTCTTTAAATAGTAAACATAGCAAATGTTTAGATGTTAAGAACATAAATTTCTAAGATACTTGTATCTTTCAAATCCAATGCTTTTCTTATGCAAAGATACAAAAATGTTCAGCTAAAAAGAAATTTGCTACTTAAAACAATTTTTGTAATATATAAAACTTTGTAGTTTCATTATAATTTGTAACTATTCAGCTACACTTAAAGAATAATAAAATTTTCAATAAAATATTCAGTTTTTGTTTTGTTTAAATATTTTAGTTTACATGTAATCAAAATAATTTTTAAATATCAGTTATATTGAAATGCTTAAAACTTAAGTAAGTTATTTTATAATTAGTTCTCTGTGTAAAAATACAAAGTGTATTTATAATATAACAAAAACTTGAGTCTGTAACAAAGGTAAATCTAAATTGCTGGATTAGCTTTAACTTATATAATGACAATATTGTTTGTTGTCCAAACTGGGACGAAAAAATGATCTAAAAATGGCTAAACTAATCCTCTGGATCCTAGGAAAAATTTCCACCCCCTCTGACGATCCCGATCGTATTATATAAAATGATTGATTGTCAAAAAGTCTGTTTGAACAACAAAGCTTATTGATAAAACTAGATAAATTTATAATGGTCTAAAATAGAAACAGCGATGCTACTGCTATATATTATGTGGATATCGAGGTGATGAAGAGATACTGGGCGCGTTGTCTGATAAAGCGGTTATAATACAGCTGGATAAGCAAACCAACTGTGTAAAGTTGCCAGGTATTGTACGTAAAGATAAGTGTTTCTTCATTAATTAAAACCTATATATATTTATTTTTTGTACTAGTGGCTGATATTTCTATCTATATATCTGATTTACGGGTGTATCCAGCGGGATGTTTATGGTGGTACAGAACTCCCTTGATAAGAAAGCAATCAGTTTTATTATTTTAAAATGTCATGAAGTCAGATAATTAGGATTAGGTGACTAAAGTAATTCTATGGTAAATGAGTAACATTCTTCGAAAAATGACGGGCTACGTGCTTTGGCTTCCCTGAAACTGTCTCAAAAACCTCCCATATTCTCTAATGCCTTCCATATTCTCAAAAACCTGGATACGCCACTGCCGATGCATACATTAATATCTATTTGTTTTGAATCTCGAGATTTCCAAATTTAAATATGTAAACGGATATAGGAATAATTAATTTGAAGTCACGAACAATAAATTATTTATTGCGTATTCAAAGAACGTAATTCTAAAACGTCACCTTAAAAGCGCACGTTATGTCACGTTAAATATTGATTTCAGGATTAAAATATTTAAAAATACGATGTTAAATATAGTATATCGCCATTTAGTTCAAAATTGTAACTAAAAATTATTTTAATTAAATATATATAAACCTATATACTCTAACGTATTTAGCATTCCGGAACGTGTGTTTTTTTTTTAAATGAACGATGCTTTGTACGATTCATTAATTTCCAATATAAAGGTCTAGCAGATCTTTATGTAAGTGTTTTCCAATCATTTTTTGTTGACTATTTAATTTTTACCATACAGAAAATCTTAAAATTGCCCATTCTCCATTGGTTGAAAATGAAATACAGTAAATGCATGAAACTATTGATGCCTTGCCTGGTAAAACCAGAACTTTAATACCCACGGATCCGTAAACAAACCAATGACGGTCCGTTTCAAATAAAACGGATTATAATGAAATGGTCTGCTTATTTGAAACGGGCTACGTCATTGGTTTGCTTATCAGCTGCCTTAATTAGGCAACGCATCCTATAATCAAATCCTCCATCCATAATGCCTACTGTCTGCAGTTTTCGACGTTCTAAATCGTTTCGACGTTCGTTTTTTCTCGTGGTTTTATTTAATTAACTTATAAATGATAAAACTTACCACCTTATAAGTTTTGGTTTGTAATTTCTGAAATCCATTAAATCGGGGTCCGTTCGATCGAGAATTCGACTGTAGTTAATTCTCATCAAATGCTTATTACTTACTCTAATTATTGGTGAAAATATAGAAACGTTCATTCAAAAAATATAACATTTTTATATACAGTACATTTATTTCAAAATATTTCATGAATAATAGTAATTATAACGTCAATATGACGTCATTTTTATATTTTCATAATGAGAAAGTGGCAAAATGACGTCAAATTAGCGTAAGAGTATTCGTTTTGTCAGAAAAGAATGCAACTCTTACGCTATTTTTTACTCTATAACATATTATTTGTACATTTACATAAATTCTAATTACCACTCATATGAAGATTAGCATTTATTAGATTTCTGGATATGGATCATCGCTCCGTGACCTATTTGACTGGTACAGAACACGGGCTACTGCGTGTGATCATATCAGAATGACAGCCTTAAACTATTTTATTTTTTCTTATACTTGATTTTTTATTCATTAAAACTAATTTCTCGATATCTTAATTATTTAAAAATAAAATTTCTATCATCATTTGTCAAAATTACTTTTTGAACTGATAAAGACCTCTTTGTATATTTATATACTTTTAAAACGAAAATGGCATATTTTCATTTAAAACTTCTTTAATTCATTTATTAATATTTTTATCTCCAGAAATGAGTTTCTATTTGTTCGTCTGTTTATGGTTTTCTATTTTTTTACGTCAATTTGACGTCATTTTTTATATATTCTCATTATAAAAGTGGAAGAATGACATCAATTTGACGTAAAAATGTACGCTCCTAACTAAAACTATCAAATTTTACATATTTGAAAATATTATTTATCGATTTTTAAAAAAACATCTTTGAAGGGTAACGAATCAAAAACATGTTTACAATATTTTAATTCGCGTAATAATAAACTTGGAGGTATTCCAGGTCGACGACAAACATCACCCGATGTGGGTAATAGCATCATTCGCAATTGCGTCACCGATCACGTGAGTGGCACGAGGCCAGTGAGGAGATCGTCTGATCTATGGCGTCATTCATCACATATGGAGACAAAAAAAGAAATCGTAAGTGGAATTGTCATAACTCGATGTTTGCGCTCATTCTTTAAATAAATAACTACTGTATATAGAAAGTTCTGCCACGCATCTCTCCAATGTCTGCTTTAAATCAGGTGAGTAAGTTAAGCCTAATCGTCTGGTTGATTCTCGAAAAGAGAAGTTACTTTTAGGTAATTTGTTTATATATGAATTACCTAAAGATAACTTCTACCCAATTTTTGGTTCGAGTAACCTGTACTTTATAATCTGTCTTTGACATTAATAACATTTAAGAATATATTTTCTCCCTCTGTCTTGTGTATTTGTTTTTGTGTTCACGCACACACAAATTATACATACGTATAATACATACACACCTTTACTGTAAGTAAATAAAAACAGCATTTGGGTAAGATGTGAAATCTGAATGAGGATTTGCCATCCCCTGTATGAGCAAAATTGTCAATGGATTACATATGACTCTGCAAGATATTTGCCGCCAAAGATCGGTGTTTATTGGTACCGGTACTATTACCTGTTGTCTGTGTAGTTGTGCGCTTTGGCGCTTGCCGTCACTCTCGCCTCGGCATCCCCGCACCTCTCTAAAACTATGTGACATCGAGTGATCTAATCGAAGTCGGCGTAATCGTGTGGGCTAAACTGTTAAATGTGATAGTCTTAGTGAATTGATGCTACCCAGAAGTAGGCCAATTTTGGGGAGGCCATGTAGAGCTACAGTCTATGACTTTAATAAGGTCCCATTCGTCTCGTTTAGATGAGTAATTGTACCGGCATTTGTGTGTTATCTTTAAATACTGTAATATGAAGATTATCTTGAAGTCAACAATGTAGCAAACCTCAATACAGTCGACCCCCCCCCATAATACTGTTGATTTTTCCGTTTTATATGAATTCCATGCTGTACGAGTCACTTAGATTTTACAAATACGTGAGCCGTTCACAGCCCGGCACATGTATTTGTAAAATCTAAGTGACTCATACAACATGGAATTCATATAAAACGGAAAAATCAACAGTATTATGGGGGGTCGACTGTAGTATACCTTTACTTAGTAAATGTTTCTATGTTGAAACAAAATAAATAAAATTAAGAGTTTAGAATTAGTATTTATAGATGCATCTTCTTCGAGAATTAGAACTCGGACAAAAATATAATTAAAATTTCTCGGATGTGTCGGACCGGTATTTCAAAAATCATTAATTGTACAGTTAATTATCATGGATTTGTGAAATATGTTATTTAATTTTCTTTTTAATACTAACATAGTATAAGTTTCCTTTCTTGTTGGGATTGTTGGATATATTCCAATTAGATAATATTTGAGAATTCCGTAATCCTGCAGAAGCAGGATCGTTGAATTCTCAAGAATTATCTAATAGTGTAAGTTTATTTTTTAAGTGATTTTATTTATTCTTCAATGTTTAATTGCTTTCCTAAGAGTGAAATATTTGTATTTAGTGTTTATAGAGGTTTTTTTTAAGTAAGTTTTAAAGAGTTGTTTACACTCAGGATATAAACTTAAATTATGATTTTGGCTGTATAAATGAGCAATTTTTTTTGCAATTATTTATTGAAAAAATTTTATAAATTTTCAACAAATAAACACTANATAATAAGAAATTATATTTTTGTAATATAAATTAACCAGATAATATGTGCCAATACCATGTTGTAAAAAAAAAAAATGTTGAATTATTGGGTTGAGAGTATATGTAAAATACTACAGTTAGAGATGAAAATAAATTCTTTAATTCTTCTACTCATTCAATATTCTTGATTCTTATTTTATTAACTTCTTTCATTTCATAAAGTCTCTATGTATGAATGTATATCTGAAAAATATTGAATTTCTCTGTCTTAAATATGTTGTTTTATTATTCTGTACTGATAATTGTAAATAAAGCTTAATTTTCACCAATATTTAGTTTATGAAAACAAAGTTTTACTTTATTGTATATACTGTATTGTTAACTGTAAATAAAGCTTTAGTTCTTACATATACTTATAAACAATTTTTCTTTTTCTCTTTAAACAATCTCTTTTCATTTTGTGTTTATTTATATGAAAAAAGTGCATTATAATTTTTTGAATGCAGGCTTAAAAGTTTAACAGTGAAGATTAAATTTTTTTATTCATTAGCTAAGTGAATTTTAAGTTCTGTGTTACTATAAATATTTTTGAGTACTTTCTGTAACTATTGATATCTTGCATAGTGAAAATAATGGTTTAATTTGTACCAGATGAATTTTATTATAATGTAATTGAACTCATCATTTATCAAAAAAATTTTCATGATTGAAATTATATACTGATGATGATCTAAAGTATTGTACACCTGCTTAGTTTACATGAATTGTCAGGAATATTAATAATTTAGGTTTTACCTATGATGGGGATTATATATTAACAATAAGCAGTAATAAATATAGAAAAGAAATAACAGCTGCAAAGTTTGGTTTACTCTTACATGACTTGACATATACAATACAGTGCTTGAAAATGTAGAAACCTGTTTTGATGATATGCTTAAAGAAAAGTTAAACCAAAAAAATTTAGACAAAGTATTGATGAAAGCATGAAATAAATATATTTATATATTAGTACATATATGTTATATTGATTAGTATTTGGATACCACTTTTGGCTTTAATAATAATCCAAATTCTCTGGCATGCTGTCAATCAGGCTTCAAATAACATCATTATTAGTGTTACAGTACCATATAAAGTTGCTACTTTCAGCTCCCATTCTATTGAAAGCCATGATTTTTGAACTTCAAGATCCACGAGACACCACACATTCTCAATTGGGTTGAGATTTAAATTTCCAGCCCAAATCCATCACTTGTATTCCCAGTGGCAGTATGTCAAATGTTGTTGAAAAGTGTGTTGTTCCAATCCAAATTCATCTCTGGTTGTGTTGACAACATGGCTAATGACAATGTCATACTGATTCAAATTCATTGTGCCATACCATCAACAAAAAGCTTTCTAACACCATTGTACATTATTGCCAAACTGGTTACTGAATATTGAAAAACTTCTCTCATCACTGAATAACATATTGCTACTGTTCTGTCCAATTGCAATGCTTTTTCACTCATGCCAATCTTGTCTTTTTCATTTTATCTATTAGTAAAGGTTCTTCTCAACCTCTGTGCAAAAATCCACTTCATATGGCCTCTTACAAACAACACATGGATTTAGACCATTGCTTTTGATGCTTTCTATGCCATATCTGAGATATAGCAAATCATTTTTGGTTTAAACAGGCTCAAAATTTGTTTTGTCTTGACAATAATATGCATGGTTATCCACTACAGGATAAATTCCCTGTGTTTTCAAGTATCTTAATACTCTGCAATGTTATAAATATTAACAGAACAAACAGTTCAGTCTGAGTGACTTGAATCGTTTTCAGATCTTCCTTGTGTAAAACTTTGATGCCTTTTTGTAGGTGTCAGCTCTCGCATATTGTATCATTAATTGTCAACACAACACTTTCAAGCTGAAATGGCACACAGCAGTAGTTGACATCAAAATTAGCAGTTTACTACACACCTTTCATTTATATCAATGGATGACATAAAACTGCAGGTATGGATAATGAAATGCTGGTTCAACATTTTGAATAAGTTTTTGTATCTGTTATCAGATTTAGCAAAAAAATGCATTTTACAGTAGACATGCAATACTTCAGAATACCAGTGTAGATTAGATAATTCTTTGTAAGTAGCCAAAAAATCCAGCTTTTATATATCATTAGACTAATAATGTAATCTAACTGTAATTTGGCCTAAAGTCACCTAAAATAGCAAAGATGATGAAAGGAAAATCTCTTAATATATAATTAATTATTTGAATTTTATTGATGATAAAGTACAGTAATACTTTTAATGTGTTATTTTAAATAAAACAATCTTTAAAAACTTTTATTTTAGAAGTAACAGTTTTAATATGAAAGGGGAGTGTTTCACACATTTCACAATCTGGCTTCTGACACCACTTTATTTTTATAGGAAAAGAAAGAAACCTTGGTCTTCCATTTTTCTGCATGATGAATGTGGATGGATGGAGGAGAGAAAGTTAGAGTGTCAGGGTGGTCTGGAAGGAAGTTCTTAATGACATTTTTAAACTAAACATAATTACATTTATTTGTGATTACATACTTAACTATTATACAAAATAAATACAAACTTTGAAAAATTTTTGCGATCGAATATTTTATTGTTGAAGTTCTTATCAAACGTATTATTCTTATCTTCTATCCTATGAACTGATTCTATATATTCGAGAGAGAGAGTTTACGTTTAGGCATATGTGGATAAATATTCAAAATCATATGATGTCTTCGATGGTGACTATTCTGTCTGGCATTAGGAAGAGTTGTTTTCACTAATGATGCATTTAAAGTTCAGTTTTCTTATTGATTGTCTGTTGTGGTGCTGAATTGGTCAATAAACAAGAGGATGTTGCCTCTCTCTCTCTTGAACTTCCATTATGTCGACTGTCCTGAATTGTACGACAACAAACTGGATTAGATGGCCTGAACAAACTGTCGACCTAGACCTCCATAATGATGACAGAGCTGACTGACCTTTTGTTGGTCCTTTTATGTCATTTTGGTCTGTTCTTGACTCACTTCTTTTCCCAAAATGGTAATGTCAGATGGAGTGGTACGCTGTAAACCAATTAGACTTTTTCTTCTCTTTCTTCCTGTGAGTGACTTTCACAAGATGAAGCATTGTCATCAAGGAAGTGTTATATGGTTACTTCCTGCTAGATTTTTTTCTTCTAAATTCTCTTTTGTTACAATTTTGAAGCATTAATTCTTGGAATAAATTCATCAATTCCCTGGATTATTCAGTCCCTATTTTTTTCTATAAACTATAGCCTGGGATCTCACATAAAATTATACATGTGTATAATTTTAAACAAATAATTATGATTGAAACAATAATTAGACTCAAATTTAAATATAAATCGATAATAATTTAATGATTTTGAAATTCATAATTTGTAATTACTTAAAATTGAAGTTAAAAATATGACTGAACAAACTGTCGACCTAGACCTCCATAATGATGACAGACCTGACTGACCTTTTGTTGGT